GGTTATAAAGATAAAGGTTCCCCTTGCACATATGTGCTAGTCATTGCTGACTCTAGGGGGCGGTGCTCATATCTGTTTCAAAGCCGAAGAGCCAGCACTGTCCAGAGACATCTCCGGGGTCATGTGGCCAGCATGACTAAATGCTGAAGGCACATGGAATGCTGTTACCTTCCCACCAAAGGTGGTTCCTATTTTTCTACTTGCATTTTTACATGCTTTCGAACTGCTAGGTTGGCAGTAATGGGAGCTCACTCCGTTATGCGGCATTAGGGATTCGAACCGCCGAACTGGCAACCTTTCTGATCGACAAGTTCAGGATCTTAACCACAGAGCCACTTCGTCCCTTCTCAATACATGTAGCGTTTGCCTTTTAAGAAATGAACAAATACAGCAATACACTGCAGGGCAGAATATGGATCCATTCAGCTGTAAATGAAATAGAAGCCAATAAAGCTTCATGTCTTAACTCATTATGTAACACTTTAGCTAAGATTGTTTCAAGTGTATGTTTGCATTGAAGAAGCTTCCTATTTATCTCACCTATGTCAAGCTTCAAAACCAAGAAAGATATACTGAGGTTCTTCTAAGCAGTTTCCTTTATTGCGCCTCATCTATAAACAAAGTCTCGCCAAACCATAGCAGACACCACTTGCACATTAAACGTACTGTATACTCTGTGAACTCCTGGGGATGAGCAATCTTAACTCTTCATCCCAGGCAAACTACCTAAACTTTATTATTTTTTGGCTCTTCTGAAATGCACTCCCTCCCTTCTGGGAATCTGGACCATGTTCCATCACATTTTCCCAAAGTATGATAACCGATAGGTTTCCAGCATTCTTTAATTTTATTGTATACAGCTAAATAGAAGGCATGTACATGTAAAGGTTTAGGGTTGAAATGTAGCGTTAAAAAATAAATTAGAGTCCCTGAAAAAGGTTCCATCTTTCAATATGTCTCTTTTTTCTCCTTCCCTTTTTCCTCCTCTTCTTGTTCTGTTTCCCTCTTTGCATTTTTGATCATCACATAATAATTATTAGTTGTTTAACGAAAGAATGATATGCTTGCCACACTAATTTCAGGACACAATGGAAAGATAATTCATGATAGAGAGATCAATTTATAATTCCATTTACCTTTTGAAAAACCCATTCTTTCCCCAGCCGGTTGGCTCGGCGGAGGAAAACGATGAAGCTGTGCCGTGACCTTTCTGATCTAGTGGTGTACACAAACTCTGTGGCAGCTCAAGACATAATTGATGATGGTAAGGTTGTGTGTAATTTATATTAAGGAACATATTAGTATTGTGTGCGCAATAGCATAGCACTTAGACTTATAGACTGCTCTACAGTTCTTTACAGTGCTCTCTAAGTGGTTTACAGAGTCAGCATATTGCCCCCAATCATCTGGGTGCTCATTTTACCTACCTTGGAAGGATGGAAGGCTGAGTCAATCAGGATCAAACTCCTGGTAGTGGGCAGAGTTAACCTGCAATACTGCATCCTAACCACTGAGCCAACACACTCCTTAAGTATATAAGTGTATGTGTGGGTGTGTTTATTATTGTATATGGAAACCTGTGAAAAAGTTTCTTGATATGATGTGATGGCATTTAATAATTCTATCACTTTAGTACCTTCATTTATGCAAGCAAAGGATAAATGAGGCTTCCAGTGGTTGTTGTTTGAAGGATTAAATCCAAAAAGCATTTTCTGTAATTACTATAGTCCTGTAGATAATACTTGCCTCATGTTGGTAACATCTGGCTGATCATGTTTGGTCTCGAAAGAATTGGACCTTGTTAATATTTGCATAGGATTTCTCCAGAGATCAGGATTTCAGGCTAGATAGGAGGTTTGGGGTGAGGGTGGGGAAACAAACCAGTTTACCCATTTCAGAATGGTTTAGAACATTATACACCTTATCCCTAGCCTTATAAACGGTGAATGAGGATTATTGGGCTGCAATATAAAATATGCTCAATTTATGAGATCCCCCAGAGCAATGGCTAACTAATGTCGGAATCTTTAAAACAGAAAATCATGCAGTATTCATGAGAAAATGAAAAAAAAAAGAATCCTTTGACCCTGAATTTTAAAAAAATCTTTTTCACTCATTGTGAAGCAATCTGGGGTGCCAGGATGGGCCAAAGTTGACAGAGAAGCTACATTATAATGCTGTAACGTTGCAACAGGTATAAGCAGAATTTGGATCGCTAATGAGAATATTTGTGATTTCTGCAATAAATTAAATTGATTTCAAATGTGTCAGTCTTTAATTCCCATATACCGTAGCAAGTGTGCCTCATGGGAATTTTAAAACAAGGCATTCTGAATAGAGTTAAGAAATGTCAATCTTAATTAATAAGAATGTTTGAGAAATTCTGATTGTTATTGTCAAAGAGATGGCAGACTAGTAAATGGGGCAAATAGATTATCAATTATATTGTTGTTTGGATATATTAGGGCTGACCTCACACTCCCCTGACATAACTTTTCATCCATTAGTGACCATCATTTCTCATGCATTAAGTTGATTTTAAAAGCTAGCCTATACATTTGATAAAATAGTAGGCAATTTTAGAAAACATTCTAGTTTGTTACAAGTTCTGTGACTTTTAATTCCTGCAATGTGCCATTTTCTTCTGGTATAAAATTAATACTATGTTTCCCCCAAAATACGACATGTCCTCATAATACAGACATGCCACATTTTTCTGGTGGGCAAAAATATAAGCCACCCCCCTGCAAATAAGCCCCCTGGACAATCCCCCACCTCCGGCCAGGCAGAGCGCCGCTCACCAACCTAGCAGTATCCCAAAGGTGCCAAGTCGCGGGAACCTGGGGGGAGGCAAAGGTGATCGCGTTGCTTGGTGCCTTCGGGATACCGCTAGGTTGGTGAGCTGCGCTGTGCCCAGCTGAAGAGGGGGGTTGCCGGGTGGCTGCTCTCTTGTGAGCAGGCTCCCAAAGAGCTGGGCACAGCCTCATGGGCGAATGGCTGTGTTGTGCTGTCGCATCAGCGCAACACAACAGCCATGAAGCGATTACGCTCATGAGCAGCCACCCAGCAAACCCCCTTTCCAGTAAGAGAGCAGCGGCCCGGCCACCCCAAAACAATAAACCCTCCCCCCATAATAAAGCCCAAGCTATATTTTGTAGGTAAAAAGAAAATAAGACCCTGTTGTATTTTTGGGGAAACATGGTAGAATTTTTAATCCCAGGGTTGGCATGGCAGAGATAGAAAACAGAGGAAGGTACCATTGAAGTGCAATATGTCTTTGGAAAGGGGATTAAGTGGGTGGATTTAGATGCTGGCATCTCCTGTTTGTGACGAAGCTACCCATGTCTCAGTTTATTCTTGTTGATTCTTGTCTATTGGTAATTCATCTCTGACAACTGTTTACAGTGTTTGTTTCACAATTCTTCATTTTTCTTCCAGCATGTCTGTGGTATCCTCTTGCCTGCTTTTCTTTGACTTTAAAGTTTTATGTCACTTGCAATCCCTCCAGGCTTCTACCCAGCTCCGCCGCTAAGCTTTTCTCTGGAATAAATATTTGATAAGCAATGTCACTGCATAGGTCTCAGCATGTATAGATACTGATATCTATCTTTCCACTCAGCAACCCATCCCAAGAGCGTGTTTTGGCTGGCTTTTAAACACCAGAATAGCTATCTATAAAATGGATAGCATACATAAGTACTTACACTTTAGCAATCTTTAGCAAAGAATTTGCCATCTGGATTTAGGCCTGCTGGGGTATCAGATGACGGCTGAGGTGAAATCATATTGAACTTGATAAGCACTATGAGAGCAAATGAAAAAGTGCTGGCAGACTATTTTGTAGAACAGAGTAGGAGGGGGGGGATCTTATAATGACACTTCTTATTTTGTCATGAGGCAAGTGTGTCTTCTGCAATTTGTCAAATTAGAGCATCACACACACACAAAAAAGAGTCCGCATTCAGGGTTTTCATTCCCCTCAAAGATCACCAGACGGATATATCGGGTTGTGGTTACATACCAATTTCTGTGAGAACTTTTAAAGTAAACCATGCTTCCCTATCTCTGTTGGCCCAAGTGTCAATTACTTCTGATTGCAAAGACAGAGCTGAAATTCTGCTTGTAACATTTAGTAAAATTTCAAACGTGTAGACATAAGGTTTCGTTTCTTTAATTTCCCCTCTGACTTAATTTCAGGCAATCTACATTATTACTAAAATGTTCAGGCCACAGGTATCTGTCATGTGAAAAATTAGTTACCTTGGTTTAAATTATGAAGCTTTTTGAAGTACAGACTTCTGGTAGGTACCTTTGGGATTAAAACCATCTGTTTTACTGAATTGTTTTTTGAGCGGTTTGATTATGTACCTTTTGAATATTCTTCACAGCCTTATATTGAAAGCCAGAAAGGCCTTTTAAATTAATGCTGTGAGAAGAATATCTCCTCATCTGAAATTCACTGAAATTCTTCATTTTGATCAACTGATTAGTATTCAGAAATTTAAGGGAAGAAGAAGTAATTATGTCATGGTTTGAAAATGTCCACATAAATATTTATGTATGTGAAACTAAATTTATTTTGTAGCTTTGCTGCAGTGATGAGTTTCAATTTTTTTTAGAACCTTTTCTGTAGGTGTGGCCTGCTTTGTGGGAGTGGCTTTCGGCCATGTGACCGGGTGGGAGTGGCTTTCTGGCCATGTGACCAGGTGGGAGTGGCTTGCCAACCATGTGACTTGGTGGGAGTGGCATGGCAGTCATGTGACTGAATGGGCATGGCCAACTGTAAAATGTGGTGAAACTCACTTAACAACGCTCTTGCTTAGCAACCAAAATATTGGCTCAGAAACTCTGGCATTTGAAGCAGGCAAGTCTTAAAGCTGTCAAGTTACAAGACCCTTGCACCCCTAACCCTTTAGAAAAAAACCCCAGGGGTGTTCAAACGTGACAGCTTTAAGACTTGTGGACTTCAACTCCCAGAATTCCTCCTCTCACTCTTCATCTTGATGATGTGCGGACGGGCGGGGGGAGGGAGCTGGAACCGGTTCTAAACAGCGCTGTAGATTTGTGGAACCTCTTCTGTAGAAGAGGTTAGAACTGGCAGGAACCCACCCCTGCTTTGCTGCTATTGGGAACAGCCATACAACAGTCCTCACAGATCAGCATTGGAATACTAAAACAGGAGATATTGCTTGTGGCCTTGACAAATGGATTGCAGCATTCATTTTCCTCTGTTGTTTAGAGAAGGCAAACAGTGCATCACATTCATTTGCCCTAAATGGTGGCACTGACTAGTCAATCTCATGTTGCCATCATAGTCACAATGGGATCCCTGAGACGACTCTTCCTTCCAGAGCCACTTTGGATAGTAAGATAGGCAGTATCTAAATTTAATAGATAAATAAAGAATCTCAAAACCATTGTAAGTTAAACATATGGTCCTATATCACAGATAACAAAAAATATAAAATACTGTATAAAAGAATATAATACATAGCCTCGTGGATACATTGCATAGCTCAGTCTTATATTTGTAGGAAGCCTTTCCTAAACTTGAGAATCTTTACTACCAGGGGCAAAATGGCACAGCTAATATTTAATATTTAAACCACTTAGGGCTGTAAAGCATTATGAAGTGGTATATAAGTCTAAGTGCTGTTGCTATGTTGCTAGAAGAGGGCTATAATAAATAAAATCATAAGATTGGAAAGGACCTTGGAGGTCTTCTATCTATTCCCCGGCCCAATGCAATAATCCTCGTGCCATTCTGGACAAATGCTGTCTTATCTTTCTTTCAAAATCCCCAGAGATACCCATGACACTAGAAGGCAGACTCTTCCATCACTTAATAGCTCTCACAATTAGGAAATTCTTCCTCACTTAGTTTTGAACTCTCGCTGTAAAATCTACTCCCTCTTCCCAATGCTATCCGTTTATATGTTGGAAGACTGCTATTATGTTATCCTTTCTCTTATTTAAGCTAAATTTACCAAGCTCTTTTAACCACTCTTCATAGAATTTCACCCCTAAGCCTCTTGCCATTTTCGATGCTCTTATCTGAACTCTTTCCATTTCTGCAGGATTCTTTAAGTATTGTGGTGACCAGAACTGGTCATAGTAGTTCAGATGTGGTCTGCCTAGTGCAGCATTGGTAAATTTAGTTTAAGTAATAGAAATTATCACTTTCCATGTTCTCACCACTATTTATGCAATCTAAAATTACATTGGTCCTTTTTAATGATACAGTATGTTTCAGACCTGCAGTCATATTCCTTTTAGGATCTTTGGCCTGCCACACTTTCTATTATTTTTCTATGCTGTTTCATTAGTGGGGAAAGGGAGGGGGGAAATAGTAAGGAGTAGAATGTGTTTGTTTTCAAAACAAAACATTCCTTTCTAGAAGCTCAAGGTCAACTTTTGTCTCCGTACTTCTGCACCTGACCAGAACTAGATGGGTGGAAATGCCAGCGTGGCAGAGGAACATTGGACCACGTGATGGACTTGTGGGGGGGGGGGGCAAGGTTTTGAACTTTCAACTGGGTGGGAACCCAGGAAGGTTTCAGAATTGGGTTTCCACAGTTTGTACCAACATGTCTGTCTTATTAAATTGGAACTTTGATGAAAGTTATGTTTTGAACTCTGATTTAATTCTGGATGAGATTTGGAACGCTGACAATATGTATGTTTAATGATATGTACGATCAAGTTGTTAATTAGAATTTAAGGATTATTTTTTTCAGTGTTTGAAAGCCTATTTTCATTTCCTTGGTGAAAATTTAGTGCACTGCTAAATTTAAAGATGATTTTACAATTTCTATTTTGAACTAGAAAAAATAATAATGGGATATTTAGCATGTTTTTATTGTAGCGTAACAAATGTCTTTTCTTTGGAAACCCTACAAATTCAAACTGTCCTGTCTGTGTCTTTTCCTGTTAATTATTTTAACGTTCAGGATCAGTGGGGAATGTATTATCCTTCAGTGAGACAAGAGCTCATCAGGTAATCCAGCAGAAATCAGAGCAGTTCCTCCTTTATAACCAGCAGCAGCTCACCAGAGTCTATCCATCTGCCTACCGGATTGACTCTAGCAACTTTAACCCTGTACCATATTGGAATGTTGGATGCCAGCTTGGTGAGTGATGCATGGTATTGTCTGTTATATAGGTGCCCAACCTTGTTTTTACCCCATGGACAAGCGCTCTTAATTATCTACCTACATTTATTCCATATGTGAAGTAATGGTAGTTCACATAGTAGAAAAAGTATAGACTTACAAAAATGTATTTAGAATATTGCTTCTTTTGCTCAATAAAAAGAGTTAGTAGTTGTGGATTAACAGAGTATCAAATCTATTACTGTTCTGTTGTCTCCTTGGAACCAAAGCATCTCAGAACTTCTACAGTGGACTGAATCGGTAATTTGGATTTATTTGATGAACTGTTGTATGTCTTTGCACTTTAGCAGCAAGCAGGCAATGATGCCCATCATTGTTCTTGAGTCAAATCAGACTTGACTAACCTGATATCCTCCATGACATTTGGGCTATATTTTCCAGAATGGCCAATCAGCTTGGTGAAAGGAATTCACTCCTATCTGGTGCCAAGATGAAGAAGGCTGGAAGTCACTGATTATCATATGTTCATTACCTTCTACTGCTTGAATGATCTCTGGCAATTTGACATTACTAAACATGTGCGCATGAGTTAAGGATTAGGTGGCTCCACTTTCATTTTTACCCAAGGATGAACTTTTTGTACCTTGGGAAGGACAAACCTCTTCCCAATATGCATAACTTTCTAATATGCATAACCAATACGCATGAAGAATGAGCAATTGAAAAATGTATGTTTCTTTAAGTTGTGTACTTTGGTCCCAGTATCTTCATCTGTTAACTAATTCAGCTACTTAATATCTGTATGAAGTATTCAGGCCTCTTCTCTTCCTTGTCCATTCAATTATTACTAATGCTCTTTGGGCTTCTGATGTGTCCTTTATCCATTTTTTATTTAGATTCATGGATCTTTAAAAAAGAATAGAAAGTGCATAGGTAGGAATTGGATCCAGGCTAAAAATATTTCATTAACACTGATAATGTTACGTAGTGTGAGTAATGAAATGTTTGCAACAAAACAACCAAGTTCAGAGAGTCAAGGACCCCTCATTTCAACCTTGATCTACAAATATTTTCCTTTATTAAAAGTATGTCATATTTAAAAAAATCAGAGTATGGTTTTTTCTATTCAAGCATTTCTGTTGCTCCCAAGGTGGAAGTAACAAGCTTTAGCTGAATGAAAGCCAATCTTTCTCACTTCTTCATATTATTCTCATCACTGGAATTGCTACAGGAAATAATACGTAACCTCACCACTTGAATTTGATCTAAGATACATGTTGGACTTCTTCAAATAAAAAGTTTAATTATAATAAATAATTAAATTAATTAAATCATGTTTTAAGATACTAAATGAAACTAATTTAGTTTGGATCAAATCCTAGAAGTATAAAGCTACGTAACTATATGATTATAGCCAGTAAATTTCATAATGAATATAAATATCTGCTTATTTGACAGTGGCATTAAATTACCAGTCTGAAGGGCGGATGATGCAGTTAAACCAAGCCAAGTTCAGGATGAATGGCAACTGTGGCTACATCCTGAAACCGCAACAGATGTGCAAAGGTAATACAAGGCAGTGCACTAAATATATTTAGTGTTCTTACACATCCATTTATCAACCATATCTTGGGTAATATTAAAATATGACACCTGTTTGGAGGAAGATGGTAACATCAAATAGGTTAGTTTGGAAACTTTGATCAGAAACAAGATATGACATATTCATATTTCAATAAAAGAGAGTTAAATGAAAAATGTAGCTAAGCTGCACTTTTTCAAACAATTGAAACATTTAACACAGTTCTTGATATGGATCTGCCTAATGAATTGTATTTGCTTACTTGCTATCATTTTGTACTTGTATTTTGATGGACAACAAAAATAGCAAAACACCCCAAATTTATTGATTATTTTCGTCTAGGAATAAATTTGACATATTAAATTCTAATGTTAACTTATATTTATTTTTTCTTTTAATCTTCACTGTAGGTGTTTCTCAAATGTACAGAAAACAAGTTGTATTTCTTATTTTAAGGTAATACATTTCCAATTCTTTCTATCTATAGGCACTTTCAATCCATATTCTGGAGATCCTCTTCCTGCTTTCCCTAAAAAGCAACTTATACTCAAAATCATCAGTGGTCAACAACTACCAAAACCCCCAGATTCCATGTTAGGAGACAGAGGAGAGGTAAACTATATTGGTGATAGAATTAATTTAGTTCACTTATGGGAGAAGAAATTCACCTTAAACAAGGATGTATATATTTCTAATTTGCATAAAGATGATAGATCGATAGATAGATAGATCGATCGATCAATAGATAGATAGATAGATAGATAGATAGATAAAATCGTTATTAGTCAACAATTACTCCATAAAGCTCATTGTATATATAAAACTAATAATTAAATAAGTATGTCAATTTAGGTATTTTAATAGAACAATTAATGTGCTTTGCTGGACATGTGCTCCGTATGAGTGAGCAATATCCAGCAAAGAGTGCAATCAATTGGATTGATCACACGATCAGAGAAAAAGAGGAAGACCAAAGAAAACTTGACACCAATTTAAGGAAGACGTGAAAAGAGCAACCTTAAATGGAAGGATGCAGAAACTGGGGCTGTGGATTGAGAATGGTGGAGTACGCTAGTAGTCCAAAATGTGCTACTTAGGACAGGATGAAAAAAAACAAAAACCTAAACACCAGTCATATGACATACATCTGAATTTATGTCATTTAAAGCTGTTCCTTAATTTATAATAAATTTCTTGTTAGTGTATTCTTGCTAAAAATGAATTCTAAAATATACTTTGCATTTCATATTAATAATTTAGGTGCACACATAATACAAAAATGTTATATCTTGGAAGTTTGCAAGATTTAATTTGTTATTTTTATAGTTGAATAATTTTCTTAATGCAAAGGGAAATTATTTGGTTTATATATAAACTACACAGAATTATTGAACATTATTTTGCTTTTTAATTGTTTTGGGTTTGTGTTTATTTTTATTCTTCCCGCTGATTTAATAGTAACCTGAAGAAAGGAGAATTAATTTATTAATAATCCTTTATTCAGAAATATATGTGAGACTTATATAGGATTTAGGTAAACATTTTAAAAAATGTTTTTATAATAAAAGTTCATTGTCAGAAATTTAAAAAAAATATAAGTAATTTTTGTGGGAGAGGTTTTTTTTTTAAAGCAAAGATTATGATCCAAGAGACAATTATTGGAAACACTGTTGGACTGAAATAAAAAGCTTTAGTTAAATTTTCAGTTTCATTGACCATGATCCTTTAATTGTTCCATGTTTCTAGAACCACAGATTTTATTAGTACAATTTTTCCAGCTATTTAGTATGCCATGATAATCACGTAATAATGCTATATTTGCATGCGCAAAGAAATCCCTTGTACGAAATCCAAAATGGACTATTTCAGCTTGGCAGTTGCTTTGCAAGTTGTCAAGGTAACATTTTTCTTCAATAAATCTAATTTCAACTCTTTTAAATGGTCCTGTCAGAAATTCCAGCAGTTGGTTCTCATTTCATCATCTAAATCTAAATGTCTGAGCTGTGATATAGTATCACTATAATCTAATGCAGTAGTTTACTCTGTCTTTAAAGTCTGTAGGTGCAATATATGAAAGAAGGGATATTTACTTTAGATATTTATGAACAGGTCTCAAGTAGATTTTGTCTTTCTAAAAATGTCTCAAGCAGATAATCGATCCATTTGTTGAAGTTGAAATTATTGGGTTACCAGCTGATTGTTGCAAAGACCAGACCAGAGTTGTAGACGATAATGGTAAGCGATACATCTTGCAGATTTTCAGTTTGTCACCAAAAACTCTGTCAACAAAATTCAGCCATTTTGTTTTTCAGTTTTGATGTCATGATCTTGTCAGGGTTCCAAATAGCATCCAAAATTAAATCAGAGCCCAAGACAAAGTATTGCTCAAAGTTCCAATTTATTAAGAGAGCCATGTTGGCTTATCTGGGAAAACCAGAATCTGAAAGCTTAATGGTTTTCCCCACCCAGTTGAAAGTTCAAGATCTTGCCCCACACCCACAAATCCATCACATGGTCCAATCTTCCACTGCCCTGCTGGCAGTTCCAACCATTCAGTTCTGGTCAGGTGCAGAGGTGCAGAGACAAAGGATGACCTTGGCTTTCTAGAAAGGAATTTTATTTTGGCTACATAGCGTTTAACTCCGTACAATCTCTCCTCCCATTTTCCCATAATAGAAAAGACATAGTAGAATAATAGAAAGTATGGCAGGCCAAAGATCCAAAAGGAATATAGCTGCAGGCTTGACAGATCTCTTGGCACACTGACATCTATAAATGAGGTGTAAGGGCTGCCAAAGGGTGCTCACCCAAGTTTTAAAATAGAAGGTTTAGAACAGGGGTGTCAAACTCAAGGCCTGAGGGTCAAATCCAACCTATGAGGTGTTTAGATCTCGCCCATGGAGTACCCCTGGAAACAGTGAAGGACCAGCCTGCGGTACCTCTGCGAATGAAAATTGGCTCCCGAGCTCTGTTTCAAGCTGTGATAGACTTCTGCAACCCTCTGCCAGTGAAAATGGAGGCCCTCCGAACTCCATTTTCACACCAGAGGGTTGCAGGAGGTTTTCACAGCCAGAAATGGAGCTCGGGAGCCTGTTTTGCTGACAGGGCACTCGGCACTCGCGCTCCTAAGATGAGTGACATCAAGCAGACCATGCCCACTCTGGCCACCATCCCCTGAGATCAAACACAACCCTGATGCGGCCCTCAATGAAATCGAGTTTGATATTCCTGGTTTAGAACAAGTACAGGAGGGAAGAGGGAGTATTTAAATATTAGTTCTCCAAGCAGGATACAATTATCAGAGAAAAGACACTGGTTAAAAATGGTCTTTCAATTAGCAATAGCACTTAGACTTATATACCGCTTCAAAGTGCTTTACAGCCCTCTCTCAGCGGTTTGCAGAGTCAGCCTATTGCCCCCAGCAATCTGGGTCCTCATTTTACCGACCTTGGAAGGATGGAAGGCTGAGTCAACCTTGAGGCTGGTGAGATTCGATCTGCCAAATTGCTGGCAGCCGGTGATCAGCAGAAATAGCCTGCAGTACTACACTCTAACCACTGCACCACCACGGCTAGGTATGGAATGGAATTAGGGTATGGAATGGCCTTGTTTCCCAGCCTAGCCCCCTCTCCTTTGCCATCTGTTCTGGGACTGAAGCTGCAGAGATTCTGACTTGAAAGTTTCAGTTCTAGAAACTTTGATCTTGATGGATAAGGCTGTATCTTAGACCTGATAATAATGTGGGAGGTTGTATGCTATTAGATAAATGAATGGAACAGTTGGTCACTCATTCAAAATTCAGCCAGTGGGGTTAATGGAATGTTGAGATAATGCATTTGGCTTGTCATTCCTTCTTGGTGTTGGAAGCAAAGCATGAATGTATTTGATTACATACTTAGCCAAGAACAATGCTTAGTATTTTTTTAAAGTTAAAGTTTTAAAGTTAATATACAATTATGATATACAATTAATTTAATTTAAAATGTTTACATATAGTATAATTATGTTTGCAAGTGATTTAAATTAAAATAACCTAAAGCAGAAATACTTTTATTTTATGTCATAAGGTTTTATCTATTTGTACACAATCAGGAATTAAATAAAATTCCTCTTAGATTTCGCATGTAGATGACTTGTAAATTGATCTGTAAATCAAAAATAACACCTATTCTTTCCGATTAATGCTACCTTAACATTTGCTATATATTTTGCTCCTCACAGGATTCAACCCTGTTTGGGAAGAAACCCTGACTTTCACTATCCACATGCCTGAAATAGCTTTGGTCCGATTTCTAGTTTGGGATCATGACCCCATTGGCCGAGATTTTGTGGGGCAAAGAACTGTGGCTTTTAGCAGCTTGATGCCTGGTGAGTCCATTGGCTTTTCTTTCTTTTCTTTAGCTGCTTCACTAGCAGCTAAATGAATATGTTTTGATGTCATGATCTCTTGGCACATTGAGGTCTAGAAATAAGGGCTAAGGGCTGCCAAAGGGTGCCCACCTGTGTTTTAAAATAGAAGGTTTAGAACAAGTATGGGGGGAAAGAGGATAGCATCTTAACTATGAAATATACCATTTAATGTTATTGATGATGTTCACCTTCACCAGGTTATCGTCATGTTTACTTAGAAGGACTGACTGAAGCATCAATTTTTGTTCATGTAACCATCAATGAAATTTTTGGAAAGGTAAGAGATAAATATTCAGTTCTGCGTACTGAACAGTTAAGATTGACATTAGTATTTGGTAATGAAAAGCAGCTGTTGATTAACCACAGGTTTAAGCTACAACTTCAGCCTTTCAAAGTGCAAATGTCTGAATAATGTTCAGGTTTTGACTGAGGTTTTTTTTTAATACTTAAGATACATTTGCTTTCACTAATGCCATATCTCCAGATGTATTGGCATTCCTAATATTTCTGGAGGGCATCAGACTTAAGTTTCAAATCCATGAATTGTGATTTGTGCTTATAATGGAAGTACAATGGAAGTAAATGACAGTAGCATCTATTAAGATGAAGTAATTTACTTCATCTTAATAGATGCTACTTTCCTTAGATATAAAATAATTTATTATTTTGCTGCTGGGCAAATAACCGTGCCCAAATATTTATGAGAACATTCCTTTCCTACCTACTTTTTCTTATCACACCCATCTCTTTATTTAAAAAGTTAAACTGATAACCCCACCCCCCATTTTGGGATTAATAAGCAAAATTAGGGGGAGGCTAATTTTAATAACGGGTGATTTCTCACTGAATGCAAAAATACTTCTTCAATGCAATTTGTTTCTTTTACTGGCAATTGCTTTGTGCTTAGTTTGAATCAATTTTAAAGCAAAGCTGCTGCTGTTCTCTTATGTTTCTGAATTTGGAAAATTTTAAAACTTAGTTTAAGTTTTAAAATGGCAAATAGTTTATTTTTTGCAAACTGCTTTTTCTCAATTTCTGTTATGGAAGAATGTTTTAGTTGCTTAGCCCCCAGTACCACCTCATATCATCAATAGGCATTCTACTGGATCTTATATAGCAATTTCATTATTTCTAAGTGAGCTACAAAAGACTGAAACACTGGTCAATTGAGGGCATTAGTTTGCAAATAAGGAATTGAAATGACTTTGATATTTTCTGTGTCCCTGGCAACAATATTAAAGTACTTGAGTTGCTATCATTGCAAAGCAGTTGCAAGCAATTGCATTTATGAAAGACAGTATAAACTATTCACTCTCTTTGTTGACTATATTTAGGAAAGTTCAGTAGTTCTAAACTCTGATTTATTGTTAAAGATGACAGCCTAGGTAAATCTCAGACTAGAGGTTCACGGGCTGTAAATCAAAGTGAACTTCAGGATTGTGTGTCACATTTTCTTGGGTGCAGCCACAAGAAGATTGGATCTTTATTACTTATTAAGTGGATCCAGCTGATCCTAACTCTGGGTTCAGTAAATGGTTACCATTGTATCTGAATTCAAACCATGATTTGGGAATAACCGACTTTTTCCATTTAGCTTCATGATCTTGATGCCGAAATATGCATTTTTAATTGTTCCAAGCAACTTTACTTTTAGTGATTCAAGAGGGAAGAAGAACCAGAGGTTCTCTAGTCTCTTGGGGCAATAATTGTACCACATTTCAGCCAATTTCAGTTTCATAAACCAACAAAAAATACTTTCCAGCATTGCAAAAAAAGGCCTTCTCCAATTTGATAAAATCAGATTTTGCACAGTACATTTTCTAGGATGCACTCATTAATCCATTTTACATCATGGGACTCCTTGCTTCGTTGAACAGCCTAATTCACCGAATTAATTCCGTGCTGATGTTATAACCATTGCCCTACTTTTCCTTGTTTCTCCCTTATCTGTTTAAAAATTGGAGGGAGAGTTATTGGTTTCTTGTTTTGAGGAGCTTTTCTTCCTTTTGCTTGGTGCACCTCCCCGTTATCCATGAATCTAGAACTCTGATTCTTGACTTGGATCATTATTCAAAGAAGTACAAAATAGATGGGTATTTTAAGCCTGAGGAAATATTCAGAAATCTTCTCCCCTGAAGCTGTTGTGGCTTGCCAGCGGCTAGCGGAGCTGGCAGCAGAGTCAGACAGTGAGGAGTTTGGGGAGGAACATGGGCCAATCCTGGAGTCTGAAGAAGGCTCTGGTGAGGGCTCTGAATCAGAGGCAGAGAGCCGTATGCCAGTTATCAGCTGTTGTCAGAGTCAGACAGCAGTGAGGCAGACAAACAGCTGGAGCCTGTTCCCAGTATGTGCATGTGCAGAGTTGCCAGACAAAAGGAACAACTAAAGAGCAGGGTTGATTTGGAAGTAAGGCCAGACAATGAATGGCCCCTCCCAGAGGAAATAAATGATGAGCGAAAGGGGAGTGGAGTTTGCAGGAGACAATTAGTTCACTAATTGGTTCGGGACTCTCTGAGACTCCTTGCCAAGTTCTGCAGGTATCGGCCTGTCAGCTCTCCAAGCCATAAATCCTCTTCCGAAAGTCTTTGCCAGAAGACAGAAGCCTCTCATTCTCTGTTCTTTAGAATGCTCTGGTTACAGAGATTAGCCAGATAACTTTGTAAGCCTTTGAAGTGCTACCCATTAGCTAATAACAGCCATGCCAAGGATTGCTAGGGATGTAGCTACTTTGCAAAGGAATCTCTGACGTGGTCCTTCATGAGTTTGTCGCCTTTATTTTCTGGCAGTGATTGACAGAGGTGGGAGAGAAAGAGAGCCATTTGACGTATGTTTCTTTAAGGGGAAAATTTCCCCAGGAAGTAGAAATCTTAATAGGAAGGCTGTACAGTTAGTCCTCAATTTATGACCACAATTGAGCCCAAAATTTCTGTAGCTGAGACATTTGTTAAGTGAGTTTTTTCCCCATTTTACGTCTTTTCTTCCCATAGTTGTTAAGTGAATCACTGCAGTTGTGAAGTTAGCAACCTGGTTGTTAAGTGAATGTAGCTTCCCCATTGGCTTTGCTTGTCCGAAGGTTGCAAAAGGAAATTACATAGTCCTGGGACACTGCAACCATCATAATATGAGTCGGTTGCCAAGCATCTGAATTTTGAGTGCATGACCACAGGGATGCTGCAATGGTCATAAGTGTGAAAAATGATCATAAGTGCTGTTGTAATTTTGAATAGTCATCAAATGAACTTAGTTAGGACTACCTGTATCAGCTTAGTTCAGTGTTCCCCCAGCCAGCATAGCTGGGAGTTGAAGTCCACAGGACTTAAAGTCGCCAAGGTTGAGAAACACTGGCTTAGTTGTTACATTCAGTTGGACATGTCCATTTGAAGGAAGCAGTGGAATGTCAATAATAATTTACTACAACATATGTATTTTCTTGTGATTCAGATAAAGAAATTGAGTTTGACATTTCTGCTTTTTTTTTTTTTTTTTGCCTTTCAGTGGAGTCCTTTAATCCTCAATCCCAGTTATACTATCATGCATTTTCTAGGAGCCACAAAGGTAGCTTTTAATTTAGCATGCAATTTTGCACTGGCTTGGGTGCCTTTCCCCCACCCACCCCCACTCCCTTTTTGGAGGCTTTCTGAATCGCATGATCTCCTACTGCCCTAGTGCTTTATTTCTCATCATGCATTTGAAAGTTTGTGCTGCTGCTTTGAAGGTCCCGTGTGATAAAAATACATGTTTTTGGGCCAGGCTAGCTTCTCACCCAAGGAAATGTCTTGCGAGCTTGTCGTATGCAATTAGGATGTGTCTTGTAAAACCTCTTTTGCTTCAAGGCAGGCTGCCTTTTTTTTTCTTATACATGCATGAACTCATGGCGAGCTTCAACATTTTTTGATCAGCTAGATGTGGACTTGCTTCAATTGACGGCTTTCCTTGATTTGCTTGGGATTTTCTTATCAGTCACTGCTCAGATATTCTTATCGGTCACTGATCAGATAATGTGTGCAAATTCAGCTATGTAGAAGTTCCTTTATGTAAAACAGGCCATTCCCACCTCCAACCCTCCCGGCAAATCTCTACATCTTATCTCCTCTCCCATTTTCTTTTTCTTTTTCTTCCAGAACAAGCAACTAATAGGACTCCGAGGGCTTTTTAATAGGAACTCCAAACATAATTCAGTGGAAAACAGCACTAATTATATCCGAAAAAGGTCACTCGGGGACCGAATCCTTCGACGCACAGCCAGCGCTCCAGCAAAGGCCAGGAAAAAAAACAAAATGTGCTTTCAAGAGACCACTGACCTTAAGGAAAGTGTATCTGATATGCTGGACTTGAAAGAGAAGGAAGGTGGTTTCAGGCAAACAAGCAGAAGTTTACAATTGCGCCCCATCTCCATGCCAGTTGGAAAATATCTCCTGGCAGGATTGCCACCACCAGACCAGGATGCTAGCAGAGTTGTTGAAGTTATCAAAAGTGAAAGTACATCTGGTGAGTTCCCACTATGAGGCTTTCAGGATAATAATTTTGAGGCATTCTGATCTTTTGATCAAGTCAGTTTTTGTTGCTTGAAAATTAGTTGTATGGACATACAAACATAAACATCGTACCTTAGTGTATATCTAACATGCTATTTCCTTTTGAAACGAGGCACGTGACCCAGAAAAGTGGTGAGTAGCAAGCAAAATTAAATTAAATTCAAGATAGGAATGTAAATCTGACTAATTCTAATTCACAACAACTTTTTTCTATTGTACCTCTCCATACTTTTCTGTCCTTGCAAACAGTCTTTGTTACCACTATATCACTTCATTGCTTTTTGTTCTGTAAACCTCTTGCCTCTCTCTTTTTGAAAGTCTCATTAACTCCATGCAATCATTACAATCTTCGTCTTCTCCTTCGTCTTAGTACTCACTCTTTCATATATTTGTTTTTAAATATGATCCTCATTCATTCTCTCTATATAACCAAATCACCTAATTGCACTTTTTCCATATTAGTCCTTCTCTTTTCTAATCAATCCACATTCATTCATTAACTACCATATTTTTCGGAGTATAAGATGCACCGGAGTATAAGATGCACCAAGGTTTTGAAGAGGCAAATTTTTAAAAAAGTAGATAGGTAGATAGAAGGATAGACAGGGAGAGAAAGAGAGAGAAATACAGTAGGTAGGTAGGGAGAGCGAGAGTAGTTAGGTAGGTGGGTAGATAAAGGGTTAGAGAGAGAGAAATAGAAAGAGATAGAGAGTGTAGGTAGGTAGGTAGAGGGATGTATGTATGTATGTATGTATGTATGTATCTATATATGTATGTATGTATGTATGTATATGTTTGTGTATGTGTGTGTACGTACGTACATACATACATAGAGAGAGAGAGAGATACAGTAGATAGGTAGGGAGAGAGAGTAGTTAGGTACGTAGGTAGGTAGAGGGATAGAGAGAAATAGAGAGAGAGAGATAAATACAGTAAGTAGGTAGGGAGAGAGATAGAGTAGGTAGGTAGGTAGAGGGATAGAGAGAGAGAAATAGAGAGAGAGAGAAATACAGTAGATAGGTAGGGAGAGAGAGAGAGAGTAGGTAGGTAGGTAGGTAGGTAGGTAGATAAAGGGATAGAGAGAGAGAGAGAAATAAACAGAGAAATACAGTAAGTAGGTAGGTAGGGAGAGATAGAGTGTGTGTGTGTAGGTAGGTAGGTAGGTAGGTAGGTAGAGGGATAAAGAGAGAGAAATAGAGATAGAGAAAAATACAGTAGATAGGTAGGTGTTTCTGCTGGCACAGCACTGGATTAATGTAATTTTCATCAATCAGTTAAAGAGCTTTCCAAAAGGAAAAAAAAAGTTTTTGCACTCTGCAAACCTCCCAAAAATTGCCCGTTGTTCATGAAAATGGGTCCTTTTTTCAAAAAAAGAGGCATGAATAGCCGGGGGGGGGGGCTTGCAGAGTGCTTTTGGGGGGTGGGGGCCCCAAAAATGAGCAAAAAGCAGCCTGTTTTTCATGAAAAAAGGGCCCATTTTTTGTCAAAAGAATTGCATGCATAGCCTTATGGAGGCTTATAGAATGCTACTGGAGGCTGTGGGGGGCACAAATGGCTCATTTTTTTCTCATTTGTGCCCTCCGCAGCCCCTACGAGCTCTCTGAAAGCCTCCATAAGGGTATGCACAGCCATTTTGATGAAGGGGTGGGGCTTCGGGAGGCAAAAAATTCTGTATTTGATAAGACGCACCCAGATTATCAGCCTCTTTTTTTAGGAAAAAAAGGTGCGTCTTATACTCCTAAAAATACGGCATTCATTCTTGAATCCACCTTGTTTTGTTTTAACATCTTAAATATGCCATTCCCACTGCATTCAACTTGTTTTTATATCCCTACTGCCATATCTAACTCTCAATTCTATATAAAATAATGGACAGAAGTATGCTGCACATATCTCCATTATCCACTACCATTCATTATCTTTTTACTAGCATTTGTATGGCTTAAAATGTTTCCATTTCCCCATCTTTACTAAACATTCTCCCAAAGTATACAAATTCATCTACCTGCTCCAATTTCTTTCCTTCATGTACTTAAACAACTTGCAATTATTACTCCATTTTATGTGTGAATTGTAGTTGTGTTGGTCAACATTAATTTTCAGATCCATATTTCCTTTTACATTATATAGTCTGGCTAATATTCACTGCAAATCATTCAAAGTGTCAGCCAATAACATGGTCATCTGCATATACATTTGCAGCTCTCGGCAACATCTCTCTGTTTTTAACCACAAACACTAGGTTTTTCATGTGTTGAGGTCAAACCTTCACTAGAAGAAGCAGCTTGGGTAACCACAAGCATTCATTGCAGATTAATCCATCAATACTTTAAACAGTCAAGGAATATCATAAATTCTTGTCTTATTCTCTGCTCAGGGTTGAATCAATGTTTTATTCTCACACGTTTTACTTCCATCATAGATTGCTCTTATCACAGCAATAAACTTTCTCCTCTGTATTAATATCAAGTATTTTGTAATTCACAATGGCTATAAAGAGCAGTCTGCTTTATAACCTTGAAAGTCTAGACCAGTCATGGTTAACCTTTTCAGCATCAAGTGCCAAAACTGGAGTGCATGCACATGCGCCAGAGTGCAGAACCCGGAGGAAAACAGCTGGCCAGTGTGTATGCGTGCAGTGGCCAGCTGCACTTCTGGGTTCCGGCACGTGCATGCCCATGGACACGAAGACCGGCTGGCACGCATGCATGCAATGGAACCCGGAAGAGCAGCTGGCAATGGTGCACATGCCCACAGAGAAGACTCTGCGTGCCACCTCTGGCATGCGTGCTATAGGTTCGCCATAATGGGTCTAGATTATATTTTAAATCATATTAGAGGTAAAGGGAAAAAGACAGTATTTGTATATTATTAGCAATACAGGAATCTTGCTGATGCACAGAGTGCAAGTTTGGGGTGTATAATTCAAGAGTTCTGATAAATATGCCTCTTGTTGCAGATGGTGTTTTAACAGAGCTATTTTATTCTGTCTTTGTTTGTCATGCTCCTTTATAGTACAAATCTGAATAGGAATACAGCTGAAGGTAATTCCACATGTCTAGATTATGATACCTCATTGACTTTCTTTATACAAATATTACATCATGATTGCAGTGATGTAATAAAGCATTGAAGAAAAACTTCAGTGAAATGCCTCCCCACTGTATATTTTTTTCCATTTCTTCACATCACATGGATAATTTATAGTAAATACACACTCACAAAATTAATTTCTTTTTCACGCTGTGACTGATTTTACATTCTCCATTTCTCTGTGGATAAACTAATCTTAAGCAAGTAAGATAATATTTATAACCAAATTTTTGTTTTTGTTTTCTGTTTGACTTGATTTAGCAGAAAGCAGAAACGATGCAAGTTTGGATTGTACAAATGCGAAGAAAACCATCACCTCTTCTGAGAAAAATCCACCTTTTACATACCTCCTTAAGAAAGATGTAGCCAAGTCTGGTACATGTGATACCCTTTGTCCTGATGAAAAAGGAGAAAGCCTAAACTTTGCAATTGGGATAGCTGAAACCTATTTCTCCACTGAGTATTGGAAAAGTAATCTTCCCAATGAATTTGTTCATGTAAAGGAAGACCTTGAAAGAAAAAAACAGGAAGACATAGGCCGCATGGATCGAAAGACATTGGAGAAAACTGAACTTTGCAAAGAAAGGCGGAAAATAGCAGATGAAAAAGCTAATATGGAATCCCTACCAATATTAACTACAACAATAACTAATGTGTGTAGCTTTAATGGTACACCAGCTATCCCAGATAGTGACATTTCTTGTCTGATTAATGAGGTTTCTCTAGCTGGCGAGAGAGAAAGGGATAACTCTATCTCAAAGCTGATAGAACAAGTTGATGTCACAAGTGACCAAACTGACTTAACTCTTGTTTCAAGTCCCTCTGATATTAATAAAGAGAAAAATAATCTAAAGTCCCTACATCTGGCACCATGTACATCATTGGATGAACCAAGCATCATTTTGGATGATAAGTCCTTAAACTTAAAATCAGCTGGATCAGCTTGTTCAACTGGTCCAAGAACAGAAAATACCATAATATCCACTCCTAAGACAACAGGGTGTTCTGTGTACACAATTATTCATGAGGCTTCTCTTTCTCCAGTTTCTCAGTCTGCATTCACGGATAGATCTGTTTGCAAAGATACAGCCAAGGATGCAGAAGACAGTTGCTTAAATCAGGGTGCTAAACACACTTCCTGTATTTCACCCATCCCCATGCAGAAAGCAAACCCTAAAAAAAAATGTGGAACAAGCTGGGAATTTCTCGGCAATAGCAACTCCTATACTTCTGACATACAGAATACCATAGTTGTCCCAGTCACTTGTGCAAATTCTACAGGTAGTAGCCTAATGGAAATCGATGGGGAATTACAAGACCTCTTGATAACTGCTTTTGAATATAAAATAGAAGATATGAGCCAAGTTGCATCTCCTCTGAAACTTAAGCATAGTCAGGATACACTATACTATAACAAAACTATATGTGAACCCCCAAAGAGCATGGACTTTCCCAGTGAAAACCTAGCTGAAGATTTAAAGTTCAACAATGATAAGAACCAGTATTTTCCATACCCACGTCAGCAGAGGTTTGAACTTTTGTACAATAATTGCTTGCAAATTTCAGATGCACAAAATGAATTGTTAAACATTCCTCAATCAGCCAGCATCAATGCTGCTCTTAAGCCCCAAAATGTTCTGCCTTCACCCTTTCCTGGAGCTCAAAAGCAACAGAGCCCTTGTAAATCGAAAAGTCTTGGTGACTTAACCTCAGAAGATATCTCATGCAATTTTGAGAGCAAGTACAAATACATTAGTAGAGGTTTTATTACATCTGGTATGAGAGACAATATGGTGGCCACTCTGAAGGCCAAGAAACCGTCAACTACAGACATTCTGACTGAACAACTGCGAAAACTTGTGTCTTTTGAGCAAGAAGAGAGTTGCCAGTCATTTTGTTCCAAACAAAATGATGATTGCCCAAAAATGCTGGTCAGAAAACTGTCATCCAGAAGTCAGAGTAGAGTGAGAAATATTGCTAGCCGTGCCAAGGAACGACAAGAAGCCAATAAACAAAAACCTTCTAATGTTAGCAGTAATGTAACAGACATAGTCCTTCGAAATAAGCCCCCAGTACCACCTCATATCATCAATAGGCATTCTACTGGATCTTATATAGCAAGCTATCTAGATAACTTCAACACAGATGAGCTAGAACGCAGAGGGGTCCCAGAAGGTGCCTGCTCATCTTTGCATTTGGGGTACAGTGACCGGTTTTGTACAGATGACTCTCTTTTAGAGACCAAGCCAAATGAAAATGACAAACCAGAAATCTATTTTCTCCTAAGACTATAAATTGTAAAAATGTATATCTTCATTGTTTACAAGCTTTCTCCCTGAATGAAGGATTATCAGTAAGCAATGCGTCCATTAGCCTTTCAGTTACTCAGATTTTTTTTTGGTATGGCTTGAATTGTGTAATTAATTAGTGTGTCCATTCTGACAAATGTTTATGTAAATAGATGTGGCAATATGTCATGTAGTTGTCTTTCTTTTTGAGAATCTACATATTTGTTGCTTTCTACATGAAGTGAATTCTCCTGTCCAGTCTTTGCAAACTGTACCCAACAAAATTTGGTACAGGTATGAAATGCCAAGCTTGCTGCATTTTTGAACTTCTAAAGACTTTTAGAGTAATTATCACCCATCATATGCCCTTTCCAGATTAAATAAAATGTAAGATATCTTAAATTTAAATTTCATACCGTCCATATTTATTAGATAAATTTCCTACACTGAGGGGAATTGAACGTTCTTTCAAAAAGTGCATAAACTTTCATTTTTACAAGTTTTGTAGTGTTTATTTTATTAACAAATTAATTTATTAATTTGTTGGATTGTGTATCCCATTTCTTCTTCTTCTGTTGCTGCTGCTTTATTTATTTCAACTAGAGTCCCCAGAAATCCAGTTCTTCCCTTAATTGTTTTCAGCAATACAAGTGTAATTTAGTGTGGTTAAGGAATTATGTGACTTGTTTTCTCTATCATTTCTTTATAGATATTTGATTGTTTTGATACCGCTATGTTAGAGCACAGTAAATCGTGGATATTGTCCCAAAGAATATCCTCTGGAGTGATGTAAAGATTTGTGCTTCTTTCATTGGCTGTTTAAATTAAGTGGTGCTGTGATGTCAAAGAGCTCATGAATTCAATTGTTTTCTGTTGTTGATAATGAGATAAAAAGAAGATCCAGCAAAGCATTGACAAAGTTGCTTTGAAAAGCCTTGTTATGCAAGCAAACACCTCTGCTCAAAGCATTAAAGCAGCTGCATCCTCTAGCACAGGGGTGTCAAATTCGCTGCCCGTGGACCAGATGTGTCATGCATTGGCCACACTCACCCCTGTTTTAGCGAAGGGGAAAAAGTCATGATACATCACATGATGGCAATGTGGTGCCGTGAGTTTGACACCCCTGTTCTAGCAGGTTCACACAGTAACTTTGAAGACAGGCAGCAGCTATCTCTACAGGGAAATCTGAGTTGAAATGTTGTGACTGTTGCATTTGTACCTTCAAACAACCAGATAGTGAGCATTCCGGAGGATGTGGCTGCTTTACCCTTTAGACAGAAATACCTTATTCATGTTAATACTCTTGGCACAGCATGATTGAAGATTGGTGGGTTTTTAGAAGTATCTCCTTGTTCTTCTTAAAGGACATGTTTATAATTTACAACTATCTAAAGGTATGGCTACAATTATGTGATCCACAACAAACCACCATTGCAGTTTCGGTTTAAAATTTCAAGCTAATTAAATAATCTATTCACAGATGTCAATACAGATTAATATTACTTAATGGCCTAGGAACAGCATGCTACAAGTTCTCCCTATATTGTTCTTACCTTTAACCATATATAATGTTCCATCTGAGATAGCTATGTTTGACGTGAAGCAGAATTAGCCAAGTGTTGAAACTGGAACTTGATAATAAATTCTAGTTTCCTAATTCCTGATTTCTAGAATACTGTATGGGGAAGGGTCTGTAAAAATGAATGTTATGTCTTCCCAAACTTTTCTGTGGACTGTTTCTATTTCCTTTGAACTTTTGACTTCAAGGTTCAAGGTTCAAGGTTCATTTTATTTATATGCCGCCCTATTCCCAGCGGGACTCAGGGCGGCGCACAAACCCAAGGAGGGGAAGGGAAACACAAAAACTACAACAAAAAGTACAGGGCATTTAAACAACCAACAGCCACACGATTCGAGAGGGGAAGGGAACTCATCAACCCCAGGCCTGCCGACACAGCCAGGTTTTAACGGCTTTTCGGAAGGCCTGGAGAGAGGTGAGGGTCCGAATCTCTGCGGGGAGCTCGTTCCAAAGGGCCAGAGCCGCCACAGAGAAGGCCCTCCCCCGGGTAGTGGCCAGATGACATTGGCTAGTAGACAGAACCAGGAGAAGGCCTAATCTGTGTGATCTAATGGGTCTTTGGGAGGTAATTGGCAGCAGGCAGTCTCTCAAGTACCCAGGTCCAATACCATGAAGGGCTTTATAAGTGACGACTAGCACCTTGAAGCGTATACGGAGACCAATCGGTAACCAGTGCAGCTCGCGGAGGATAGGTGTAACGTGGGTGTACCCAGGTGCACCCACAATCGCTCGCGCGGCTGCATTCTGGACAAGCTGAAGTCTCCGAATGCTCTTCAAGGGCTGCCCCATGTAGAGCGCATTGCAGTAGTCCAGTCTTGAGATAGTCCAACCTTAAAAGTGAGGTTGACATTTTTTTTGCTTTTCATGAATTTATTTTCTGTATTTGGCTATGAATGTACTTAAAATGCAGTAGCAAAGTGGTATGCAATAACATTATAACTTCACACATAGAAACAAAAAAGCTTTATCTTGCTGTGGATTTGAGACGAGGGCTTTTTCTAGTTAATGGTAAGGATGGAAGGAAAGTTATAGCGAAATCACCTCAATATTATGTAGCAATGTTTTAGCAGCTTCATTTGCATTGTGTAATGAGAAACCTTGTTCAATGTAAAAGATATATGTACACCTCTTTTGTAATATAGGATATTATTTGTATTCATGAAAGAGAAACCTTAAATAAATTTGTAATACCCAAATATATGCTTCTGAGCTATGAAACAGAGAAATGCTGCCAAGTAAATGAAATTTTATAATGGGAAGGCAGTTGTTATTTACAGACCTTTATTCATGGAAACTACTATTTCCAATTCACAGAATGGGTATTGATGTAACTTTTTGAAGTCTATTTGTGTCTGTGTCTTTGTATATTTAAATTGAAGCTTGGGAACTATTGCAATAAACTTGCATATTATTTATATTTTTAACATGTCTATGAGGCAAAGTATAGTACACAAGGCAAAATCAAGGCAGAAGACAAAAGGCAGCCCTCAGGGCCAGGCAGGGCAAGGCAAAAGGCACAACTCAAAGCTGAGGGAATGTAAGTCAAAACAAAAAAAACTGTACTTGGCAAAGACTAATTCCCCATGGCTTCGCCTTAAGTCAATCTACTCCAGCTGTTCTTGTGAGGAGGGCTGGGGCAACCTTTTCCTGAGTAGCCTTGCAGCCCTTCTCTGAATTTGCCTATGCTCCACTGTCCGTGCCCTGGAATCGAGTGGGGGAAGCAGCTGTTCCTCATTAGAGGGCATCTGCTGCCTGTCAGCACCACTGCCTGTCAGCAGCCAATCCTGTCCTGTGACGGCAGGCAGCTGTCTATCTGGTCGACCACCTCCCCCAATGCCTGAGGGACCTGCAATAGCCTCGTCCTCAGCACTTGGCCTCTTCAAACATGCCAAAGGAGATGTGCCATCCCCATCAGATGGTCCCAGTTCCAACTTCTCTTCCTCCAAACCGGGCTCTGATGGAGCCATGACAGAAAGAATTTTTTTTTTTTGCTAAAGCAGCAGATTTGTGACTGAGTCACAGACTGGGAAAACTTGCATGATAGGCAACTTCTCAATTAACAAAAAGTAAATCCGTGAAAGGCCAACCTTCAAACAATTTGCTTTTGCAAAGAGGAAATTAATTGTAATAGAAGAACATTTATGGCTGTTTCTGGCCATTTATGCTTTAAAATGGAACATCCAGTCCTACAAGACTGTAATTGCACAGGTAGAATACTATTGTAATGTAGTTATTAACATATTTCCATCATTTTGTTTTAATAGATTCTCCTTGTAAAGCACATCATGTCTACTTTCCTACCGGTAAATGCAATTTAGTTTTAGAAAATTGCAATGCATCATTGTTGATTACTATTTGTTTATTTTCCATATAACATTACGGTATCATTTTTTATCATTAAAAAATAAGTGATGGGCTCTAGTTCAGAAACCAAACACGGAGTTAAAAGTAGTGAAAACTTCAAAAACATGAGGCAAGAAGTCCAGTCTAAATCCAAGAAGGCAGGGCAACAATTTTTTAAAGTATAATTATTAGGGTAAAATGTCTTTAACAGAATTTAAAAGAGCAGCTGCATTTTGGCTTTACAAAAAAGAAAGGTAAAAGATTTACACTTGGGCAAGGAAAATAAAATAGAGACTAAATGTGAAGCCAAATGCAGTCATTGGGGACATACTGGGTGTGAATAATGTATAAATCTGTCAAAATAGGCCAGTGAAGGTTTTCCTCCTTTGTCTAGCACAGAGAATGGATTGTTTGCAACTAAGGACACCAGAAGAAAAAAGACCAGGACACCTGATGAAAAGACTTTTTTCTACCTTCTGTCTGAAAATAAAAAAATGATATTTTTATTTCCAGGACAAGTTTCAAAGCAAAGCTAATTTTGAGAGGAGCATAGTGCAACAAAAACCTAAGTACACAATCTGGAAGCAATATAATTAAATAAATGAAATAAAATTTTTAGGCAGAATACTTGATTCTACTGAAATCAGAACACAATGCCAAATACTAGCAATTCAAGAGGAAAATTCTGAAAGAAAATTCTTCAAAAGTACAGTAGGCATACATTTTATTCAATAACACATCACATGAAGTGATGTGTTATAGTCAGGTAAGTGAGCACCTGTCTACCCTAGACGATGTAGAAAAGATGTGGAGACTCTAGAAAGAGTGCAGAGAATAGCAACAAAGATGATTAAGGGACTGGAGACTAAACCATGAAGAACGGTTGCAGGAACTGGGTATGTCTAGTTTAATAGAAAGAAGGACTAGGGGAGACATGATAGCAGTGTTCCAATATCTCAGGGGTTGCCACAAAGAAGAGGGAGTCAAACTATTATCCAAGGCACCTGAGGTAGAACAAGAAGCAATGGGTGGAAACTAATCAAGGAGAGAAGCAACTGTCTCCAGAAGTTGTGAATGCCGCAACACTGGAAGTCTTTAAGAAGATGTTGGATAGCCATTTGTCTGGAACGGTATAGGGTTTCCTGCCTAGGAAGGGGTTTGGACTAGAAGACCTCCAAGGTCCCTTCCAACTCTGCTATTATTGTTCATACTCAAGAAATCATGAAGATAACAGGTTGCTAAAAAGAACAACAAATGAAATCCAGGTTAGTAGCACTGATTGACTAATAGATCCAATTTTTACTTATATTGCTCTTCTACAACTTGGTGCAGAGAAAATTGTATAGTATTTATTTTTTCATCCATTTCAGATCTTTTTTGAAAATTGTAATTAAAATTATAAGACTTAGCTCTTTATTATCTTGGGAAACAGCACAGAGATTTTTTATTTTTCTTCTTTTGGTAGTGCAGAATTATCTGACAGTAACAGAATATGATAAAAGCAATCAAAATTATACAATTGCAGACTAAATCATATCTGAATATGGCCATGCATTTGTCTATAATAGGATATGAAATTGCCAGGGAGAAAATAATTAGAAAACCAGAATAGAGAATATGTGTATCATTTGACATCTCTCACAAACTGAAAATAAAGATGTGTTGCACGTCACAATTAACTACTAAATATCCACTTTTGATGGAATCTGATATGCATCATGAAAATAATAATAGGAGAATAGATTCTGGAATGACAGGTTTGGTTATGGCTTGAGTTCTTGTTACCTGCTGTTTAATTCACATAAAATCTGTCCTCCTTTCTGTATTAATCAAGAGGGCAGGCTGTAGATTCCTCCCCTCCATCATGTTGGTTTGGAAATAATCCTCAATAGTAGCTCACTCACTCTGGAATAGATTCCCGCAATTTAGGCTGCCCCCTTTTCTGCTAATACCTTAGAACAACTGTCCTTTTCTCATTTTCCAACAAGCCTTAGAACAAAAGATCCAACTTAAATATAGGCAGTTACTCAGAGAGGAAATGGAGTTAGTTTGACTATAAGACTCTTAGAATTTCTGTATTTGTTTTACTTGTCTTTGTGGCATGTTTTGTT